GCATAGAGGTACCTCCTAATACAGAAAATGGTGGTTCTAGTTGATGATGTCGTCTCTAAATCCAGCCAAGAGACTCCCTGTCCGGAAACAAGGCACTCTGATCCGGGGCCACGGCAATCTGATGCACGAAATAGGCCTTCTGTTCAGAAATGGATCCCCCTGAATAAAGAGGCTGCTTTCTAACCCAGAACGGGGCCTCCAAGTTCGTAACGGAAGCGTTCATAGCGTTCCCGAGCCAGCAAAGGGACGTGCTTAACGTAACATTGGGCCTACTAATCTAGAGCATGGGCTACCTTTTTTATTTATGTGGCTTCTTAGTCCAGAAACTTTGAAATCTTGCTCTGAATTTTGGTGACCTACGGGTAACTGCTACGGCTTTAGTTTGGCAAAAAGGGCCAACAAAAAATGAGAGTGAAACAAGCGTACGATCGTCCCATGCCACCATGCTGTGCCACCAATATTTTTAGCACGCTGCAAAGACCGTGAGGAAGAGAGTTAACCTGTCTAAAAATCACATTACAGCGAGCTCGAGAGTAATAAAACAGGTTGCTTTTGACCTTGGTTTGACCTTCATACCTGACTCCAGGTCAATGCTATTTGTCTATTCAGTTGTTGTGTTGCCTGAGAAAGCATCTCAGAGGAGTATGGCTTCGCCAAACACTCCGTTGTTTGATCGGATTGAACGATTCCCTTCAACGTGGTTTCGCTGAGACCATGGCCTGACGTTGAGCTGCCTATAGGACAGCGACCTTACAAATTATATCTAAATTTTTGATGCCAGACGAACCGGTATTCAATTATCTACAGTCAATTGTCTTCAATTGTCTAATTCTAGTTGTCTATGCAAAATGTGGTGCCGCTACACTGCGCGGTTCGGAAATCATTCCGGGAAAACCTTCGGAAGGTCAATATGACCCCCGCCCCACCCGAGCGCGTGTTAATGGAAACGTCCTTTGGTTACCACTTTGCTAAAACCTTAATGAATGCTTAATTCATGAATACATGAGTGCTCATAACAAACGTGCCATTTTCCGTCTGCTTTCAACTTGTGTCCTTATAGTGGTTCTCTGAAGATTTTTCAATGTGTGAATTGGTCCGCTCTGCCTAAAACACCTCAATGCACTTGATGACAAAGTCAGAGCCGAAGCGCAATTTTTTCTTTATTTGGCCAAAGAAGTCGTGCAGCATTGTTCTGTACAGAATTGAGGGCGATGCCATGCTCTCCAATGCAGTGGTAATCAAGTAAAATATTCGGCTGAGAACTTTCTCATTGACGTATATTTTTAAGCATCGAAGCATCTCATAACCGCAAGATTCGTCAGCATTCATCACTGCAGGAATATGGGTCTCGCGGTATAGAATCAGCCGCCAAACCCTAGAATTTATGTGCACGATTCTGGATAAGTGCCAGACCTTTCGTTGTCGACGAAGGTGCGTGAAACTCCATTCTTGTGAATGTCATGGTATTAAGAATTCATTTCAATGAAATTTAATTTGAATGTATTTGAACCAGAATTAACCTCTCAATCTTTTTGCTTACTTTTCAAGACATTTTAGCATATTTGGCGTGAATGAAGAATTTAATCATAGAGATAATGTGGCGCATTTCTGGAGAGCTTTTCGCAGCCGAACGATAGCGTTAGCTGTTTGAAAAAAAGCCTCGTGTGAGAAGACCTTCGACTTTATGTTGTGAACACTACGAAATGCTGTATGTTATGGCTGTGGAAAATGAAAGGAAATCAAAATCGGGTGCTGCCAATTGACCTGTGCGTGATTTGAAACAACAGTAGAAGATGGACTTAGAGAAAACTTCACCGCTTTGAAATGCCTTTATTCTAACCTTCACAGCCAAATTCCTTTTTCTGTAAGGGTGCCCAGTACCGGTGCGCTGCACAAGCGTGGCTTCAACGCACTGATATCGTATATGGCACATGGCGTTCGCACGAATATACGCACCATCAGGGGCGCAGTGACAAAACCTGATACTGCTGCAGAACATGTCACCAGGCACACCAGGCACATGGCACACCAGGCACATGTCTTTGGTCTTGGTTCACTGAAAAATATTGAGAGAATCACGATATCAAGCAAAGATTGACTACATTGTCAAAATTTGACATTTTAGTTGTGCCCATGGCTGCTAGCGAACGAGATTAAGCAGGAAAATGGCAGTTAAAAACTAGGAAATGTAAACATAAAAAACGTCCGAAATCCGTACAGATTTTGTCGTTAAACAATATCGATACAATACATGATTTAAGTTCATATATTTTAACACCCGATGCATAGTTCAATGCCAAGTGGTGCTTACAATGTAGGTGGATAAGCCAGACGGGTAGGATAATCCATATGAAGTGAACTGTTGAAAAGCTACTTACCACCAACCTACGACATTACAAAGATTGCACGAACATCGCAAAAATCCCAGCTATTCAGCCTCTCGCGTGCCGGCACCCGATACACTTTGTGTATTGTGCATAAGTGTTAGGGGCTGCCTTACACAGGCGGCTGAGACGGAAGGTTTCATCAACCCCTACCAGAAATAAGACTAGAAAGGAGCTTTCGAAACAAATAAGTTTGATAAGCCCTGGGGACTACGGGCCTTCTCGAGTAACACCACAGTCATCCGAGACACCTGTTACTCATGGGACTGAGCTTTTATCCACACAATACCAATTCATGATCAGTTGTAACCGCCTGCCAACTGTCATCGCATTGTTGCAAAAAACATGTTGCTTGCATTTTCCAGCAATTTAGTTCTACATTCTCAAAGAGTTTTAGGGAAGTTTACAGTCTTAGCTGCCTTTTTGTGTAAATAATTGCAAAAATAGTGTCCATGAAGCTAATATGAAGTAAGTGAAGTGAAGTGAAGTAAAAGCGAAGCATGAAGCTAACGATCACGACGATAAACGAAAACCGTAGCACTGCGAAACATTTTTATAAGTATCTACCCTCCGTTCAACAAACGTTTTCCCCATAACAATACCCAAGATTCGAATTATCCTAAAATATGTACCTGACATAAAATATGTACCCTTTGCCCCTAACCTAGCATAGCCATGGGTTTATTTCATCCGGTAAGCCCTCTCCTGGAGAAGCAAGCGTCGCCAGCTGGGAATAAAATTCGTCACGCATTTGATGATGAGCTGAAAGAAAAAAAAAATGCGCGGGATAATTTAGCGTGCAAGATCTTTTGCAGCCTCTGTCTCAAGGTATTTTATGTAAGGTAACCAAATGCAATATTTGTGACATGTTTAATGCGCACATTTTGGGGCGCGTATCTGAAGGGAGCGTGCACATCACTAGGGGAACGAATGACAGACCGACATAAAGCAATAGAGCATAGCGACTCTAACATCAACTTTAAGTTAGAAATCTGGACCACAGCTGAGGACAACGTGTAGCTCAAGAATTCAAACCGCTGCCCATTCATGATTTTTGTCCGAGGTCGAGCACAAAAACATTGTCATGGGACCAGTTCTCCTAATATGTGTCTTGGATTTTGAACATCCTGTCTGCTTAACTCTGTTTTCTCTTGACCACGAGCAAAACAAGAAACGTTGATTTTTGACAATACAAGCAATGGCCGCCTAACTTCGTTTACCTAGTACCTACCGGCGTATTGAAGATCGATTGTTGTCTGCATAAACGCTCTAAAATAACAACGCCGATAAAGCAGAAGCACAAGACCATTCCTGCTTATATCGGCAGAAAAAACCTGGCATGCAAGGCAAGTATATTAAGTCCCCTATTACCCCTGACTGCAGAAACCGAACAGGTGCATTTAGTCATCCCTGGTCGGCAATCGTCGGGCGCAGCCATTCAATAACTGCCTGACTGGCAGGCGTGCCACTTTCCATTGTTTTGGAACGCGTCACCCACCAATTATTCACCATGTCAACGCGCCTTTAGGGAAATCAACTTCACCTCCCAAAAGGTTTTACAAAATAACTTTCGACCGGCAATGCGTAGTCGCACCAAGCTTTGCATAGCTGTAGGCAATTGGATAGTGGATATTTTGGCATAGCAATGCTGACCTAAGGTAGGACGAAGTCAGGCCGTGGCCGTCAACGGGGGCGATTTCAAGGGAATTATTTAATATTATGCAACGACGGAGCGTTAAACAAAGCCATGCATTTCTGCGATGGTTTTCTTTGCAATAGAGCAACTTAAGCTAGGATAATAGCGTATTCCATTGCCATATGACAGGGCGCAAGGGTAAGACTGAGGTCGAAACTAACCAGCACGTTCCAACCGGAAAGGAACGAAATGCGGACGGGTCGGAGAGTCACACGAAAATTGTTTTTTTAACTCGAAAATATGATCTTTAGTCCGTGCAAAAATGCCTGGATTCACGGTGCGGATCGGGTGCATGTAATCCAGTTTGCCAGGTGTACCGCTATCACTCGAAATAAAGGGTGGCACTCTACGTTTATGATCACTCGACCCTACACGCTAATGATGTGGTCAGTCTTGCATTTGTATGCACTTGCAAAGGCTTCCTGGTAGTGATCATGCTGGGGAATGTGACGAATGGCGTCAACCGCAAACGTCCCTAAATATAGCTTAAACGTGCAATAGACGCACTGAAAGGGCAAGCTTGTTGTCGTCGTCAATGCCACCAGTAGTGACGAGGTTTGCGGCCATTGATCGGCGTGCTTGAGCGGTCGAGAAGATCTGTGCGACGCCAACAGCCCACAGGCACTGCTCATCAAGTCGTAGGCAGTGACCCGCGGAACCGCAGCGCGGCCTCCAGCAGCTGTACCCTTCATCGGACGCGGCGCCGCCCTCCGCGGCGCGCCGGGCGGCGCGCGCTCGTTCGAGCCGTAATTACCGCTAGGGCGTTCCCGTGCGGCTGGCCGTGACATTGAACTTCACCTTGGCCGAAGGTTGACGCCGGGCGGTCAGCCGTTGGCAGCCCCACCTCCGCCCGCGCCATGGACCCGCCCATGTCGAGAACGCGCATCCCGCCGCCGAGGGAGGCGCCCGGCAACGAGGCCGTCTGGGTGTCCGCCGGTATCCACCGGTTCCCGATGGGCAGCGCCTCGGGCGGTGAGGAGATGAGTATAAAACAGCGGGCGGCGAACGGCGACAGACACAGCTCAAGTCGCAGCTACCTCCTCAGCACCAACATGAAGCTCCTGGTGAGTGGGACTTGTGTCGGCCTGTTGATTTCACTGGCAGGCGGATGGTCCCATGTGATACGCTCAGGCACGATGGATTCCAACTGCACATGCCTGGGATCAGCGATGATCGCAATGGTAAAGTCTTTTTCGCCTTTTTACTACCGCACCATCATCTACGCTGCTTTACGCGTCGCATTACAGCGTATGAACCTGCCTCACTAGAGTGAAAAACAGCCAACTGATGTTCGCTCCCTGTTCCAGGTTCTCCTGGCCGTGCTCGGCGCCGCTTCGGCCCAGTACCAGCTGTACACTGGTGCGGTGCCGTACACCGGGTACAACGTCCCACTGGCGTACAACGCGTACCACGCGCCCATCGCCACGTACGCCGCCCACCCCTTCGTGTACCAGAGCCTGCCGTACTCGTTCAAGCCCGTCGAGAAGGAGGAGCCCGCAGTTGAGGTCAGTGATAACGGAGTCTGCGACCCTGACGTGGGCAGTGTCAATGTCGCTGATGCGGGCCCCGTCAGACTCTCGTGTGATCACTTGTGAGGTCGGATTTAGACTCACTACATGTCAAACAAAGGCTCCACTGAGGCACCATCTCACTGGGGATGTTCTTGATGCAGAAAGAGGCTTTGCGCCGTTCTTAGAGAGCTATTTCGTAGCAATTCAATGTCAACAATCTCCCCAAAGACAATTATGTTGCACTCGTGGATTAAGGGTAATCGGAGATTCAGCTATGCTTGTGCATTCATCTGGTCGGTCGCGAAGAGCTATGGTGTTCGTTTCGGTGTCTATTTACCACAATGCAATTTAAAATAATAGTCAAGACGGAAAGGTTTGCTTCGTATCGCAAAAATATTAATACTTCGAGGATCTTGATGCTCCTTGCTGCCATCTCTAAGCACAGAGCTAACACATCTCTACTTTTTTCAGTCCCGGTCCAAGCGTTCGGCCGATGAGGATCAGAAGGCTGACGATGCCACCCTGTACTCCACCTACGCCGCCCACCCCCTCGGCTACACGGCCGGCTACCCGTACGCCTACAACACGTACCCCACCGTGTACAACAGCGCTTACAACTTCCCCACCACCTACGCCTACAATGGCTACAACGCGTACCACGGCTACACCCCGTTCGTGCACTCGCTGAAGAAGCGTGATACCGCCGAGGCGGACCAGAAGGCTGATGACGCCACCCTGATCTCCACCTACGCTGCCCACCCCTTCGGCTACCCGTACGCCCGCGCCGGCTACGCCACGCCATATGCTTACCGCAGCGTGTACAACACCCCGGCCAGCACCCACCCCATCACCTACAACGCCTTCCCCTACGGCTACCGCTCGTATGTGTACTAGACGATGACGATGCCGAGGAGGTAAGGCGACATGAGCTGTACATTTGCTTGTCATTGCACTGAACTTGGACATTTGTGCCTGTCGTTGCAATGAACTCGGCAACTTGTGCCCACCTGTGCTCTGAGGAACTGCTTGTCTGTGGGCCTGTCTTCGTACAGGACGTGGAGACTTGTGCCTGCTCTTGCAATGCACGTGGAAACTTGTGTCTGTTTGTGCTCTGACAAACTGTGCTCAATGTCTACGACAAGCACACGCTTGAATTGAAACTCACTTTCACTGATTACATTGCAACTGGACGTAGCGGTGTGAACCTGCGCACAGCTGTGATTGTAACATGTGAAACGCATTTCATTGTTCTGGCCTGGTCATACTTGTCAATAAAATGTTAAAATCACCCTCCTTCTTTGCTCATCTACTGTCATAGTGTGACACATGCAAGTGCATGGTCAGCCCTAACAGCAGGTGCGATGTGGCGTGGAGATAGACCAACACGATGCCAGTGCATCACAGTTGGTTCGAGATCCGACTTGGGAGCGCGCCAGCGCGCGAAAACGCGCCACATTGGTGTCACACTGAGAGCGAAAAATTTGCAAGTAGAGACATTACTGAAACGCGTAGGAACATCCCGCTTGTAATTCATTAAGCGGCGGTCACAGCAAAATTTGATCAAAGCACAACGACTGGGAAGAGATCGGGCAATCGTACAGGCGAACGTTCACGGCGGCTCTTGACCGAAAAATTAGGCTTGATGTAAGATCTGGACGACGCATGCACGTGATGACGTGAAATAACTGTAAAGCGTAGACCTGCATCCATCATCTACAGATTACCCAGCCAGTCAAACCCCATCGGAGCCATGGTGACACCTACAGTTTACCGAGGAACTACAAACTTTCCGGACACAATATACATCATGCTGGCGCGTCACTTGAGCTATGGATGTTGGGGCCGTAAACAGACATAAAACACGTAATAGAGACGTAAACAGATGTAGCACAGTTTTACAGCACAGCCCACTGCGATCAATATCCACCAAAAAAATGCGTCCTTATCACAGTCTTACGTCACAATGAAACAATTGCAAAGATTGCCATTTTCGTTGGTGCAAATTAGCGCTTGCATTTAGACATCTGTTCCTCAACGTATCCTCATGGGTGTAACCACTGCGGTTGGGAAGTACAAGAGATTACGGTGCTTGTACAATATTTGTCCGTGCAAACACATTTGTAGTCTTATTTTTTTATTGAAAACATCGTACTTGACTCAGATTGTCGCCCAAAACTCTGAGTAAACCTCTCCAAGTCTGATTTTTACCCCAAACCTCACACACCCGCCTACGCACATTTTCAGAATAGGGCCTACTCATAGCCTTTGCCTGGTAGGACTATATATATATATATATATATATATATATATATATATATATATATATATATATTATGTCAATCCATGTTGAAGTGATCATTAGTCTTATCAGCCTACGCCCTGGCCAGGAGCCATGCATGGGGATACCGAAGGAGTAGAGGTAGTAAAGTGTATTTTTTTTTTGTCTCCGACCGAATTTCTGTTGACAAAATTGCTGCCAGCAGAGTAACGGGATACCATGTGACAAGAAATGCAATGACGTACATGCCCAATAGCATATTCAGAAACAGGCTTATTACCAGGCGTCTTTTTTATCACTGCAACTTGCAATATCATGCACATACCCGAAACGTTCATTTATACAGTGTCATTCATCTTATATTAAGATACCTGTTGCTGCGCGGAATGTAGGCACACCGGCCCCACGCAATGGGGCAGTTTAGTGTAAGTTTGATCTGTGGGCGGATTGGTATCCTCGACCGCGAAAAGAACGGCGAAGGACCTCCACAGCCAGGGAAATGAGTACATGACAAAGTTTCAGCCGTTGGCAGGTAGCGCTGGAGCATGGCGGCAAGCATGCGCACCATCTCGAAGCCCGCATGTTTGCCCTTTATGAAAACCACGTGTGCGCTTCGATCCCCATCCCAACCACCATTATACTCGCCACCGTATCTTGGCATGCTCCAAGCCTGGCGCGACATGTGTTGCGTGGTGAGCGCCTTTCAGTGCGCAACAGCAATCCGTATACACAGGCTTGAACTGGGTGTCTAGACTGCCTGGAGAGGAGGGAGCAATATATTGGGTTCCGTGATGAGTTCAGATTAAGGCGAAGGCGACTTCGCAAATGCTGCGGAAAAGGTAGTGGTGGCGTGCTAGAAGAACGATGCATCGGGGCTACAGAAAGAAGAGATCACAGAACTGCTTGAGAAAAACAAATGCCGGCTGTTTCATTTTCTTGTCACACCGAGCAAACCAACCAAAAACAAACAAAAAACAAAACGAAACAAAAAAACAAGCAATCATTTTCAGATGCAGCTAAACTTTACGACCGTTACATGCTTTCACGAACGGAAGGTACCAGAAATTCCACGTTCAGATTTGAGTATTTTCCGCCGTTTGAAAAATAAATGACCTGTGTTTGCACCAATACAACACAGACTAGCTATGCCCGATCATAGCCGTCTCTGTTGCCCTTTGCATACAGTTCAACAGCTCGTTTCTTGATTTGGACATACCGAAGGTCGGCATTGTTAGTTTTGTTGAGCTGTGTGAACTTTGAAATGTGTGTCATTATCTGAACCATACCCTAAAGATCTCGGCAAACGGTATGGGTCGCAGCTGTATCATTTTATGGCATGAATTCATCAGCTTTGCTTTAAGATGATTACGTAGGTTTTATAGAACTATATCGACCTTCTTTCATATAATTTTCCGCACATGATACCTAGCGAACCATTCGTGTTTTGCGAGGAGGTGCTCCCTAGAGTAGGCAACTGCGTCCCGTGGCGATGGGTTTGAGGTCTTCGTGGTGTCTGCTACGTTTCACAAGAATGATACAGCAGGGATGACTTCCCTATATGTTCATGTTGATTGAAAACGCGTCCCCAACAATGTTGGCTCCCGACCACAACACAAATCCTACCCCACATGCCACATCAGCCAACGTATACCAGGCCTTAACACAACACGCTAGCAGAGATGGTGAGAACAAACTAGCGGCTTTTAACCACCAGATCTCGCACTGCTCAGGAATTCCGTCCGATCCAGACGTTCAGCTCTGCCCACGAGGCGGCTAATCTCGGAAACGCATCCCGCCGTTAGAGGGAGGCGCCCGGTAACGAGGCGGTCCAAGCGTCCGCTGTCGTCTGACTCCGGATGGGCAGAGCCTCAGGCGATGGTGAGATGAGTATAAAACAGCGAGCGGCGAACGGCGACAGACACAGCTCAAGTCGCAGCTACCTCCTCAGCACCAACATGAAGCTCCTGGTGAGTGGGACTTGTGTCGGTCCGTTGATTTCACTGACAGACAGATAAGCTTCGGTTTGTGGTACGCTCAGTCACAATTAACCTCGCCTACGCATATTTGGGTTCTGCGCCTATCGCGCTAATGCAGTTATTTGCACGCCTTTACTACTGCACCAACATCTACGTTGCTTTACGCCTCACATTACATCGTATAGACCTGTCTCACTAGAGAGGAAAACAGGTGACTGGCATGTGCCCTTGTCTCAGGTTCTCCTGGCCGTGCTGGGCGCCGCTTCGGCCCAGTACCAGCTGTACACTGGCGCGTGGCCGTACACCGGGTACAACGCCCCGCTGGCGTACAACGCGTACCACGCGCCCATCACCACGTACACCGCCCATCCATTCGTCTATAATGGCCTGCCGTACTCGTTCAAGCCCGTCGAGAAGGAGGAGCCCGCCGTTGGGGTCAGTGATGACGGAGTCTGTGCCTCTGACAGGGGCTGTGTCAGTATTGATCACGCACGCCGTGCCAAACTACCGCGTGGTCACCTTCGTGTTCATACATCGTGGCGATGTAGACCCTCACGAGACAGGAATTAAATGAACGAGACGATTGTGTTTCGGACTCAGAAAAGAGCGATTTTTTGCGGCATTTTCAAAGACATGTCAGTCCAATTTTAAGCTATTATATTGGGCCCGTTTTGCCGCAATTCAACGTAAACAACCTCGTCAAGAATGGTCGTTTTGCATCGGTCGTTTGCAGGAAATAATCCGTGAATTAACAACGCTTCCGTAGTCATCTGGTTGCACGCCAATGCATTTTCAAAACTTCCGTTCCGCTAGCCGTTTACAGCAATGCGATTCAAAATCCTAGTTAAAACTGAAAGCCTTCACCTTTGTCGCGAAAGTGATATCGATGCTCCTTGGTGTCATCTCCACGCACACAGCTAACACATCTCTGCTTTTTCCAGTCCCGGTCCAAGCGTTCGGCGGATGAGGACCAGAAGGCTGACGACGCCACCCTGTACTCCACCTACGCCGCCCACCCCTTCGGTTACACGGCCGGCTACCCGTACGCCTACAACACGTACCCGACCGTGTACAACAGCGCTTACAACTACCCCACCACGTACGCCTACAACGGCTACAACGCCTACCACGCCTACACCCCGTTCGTGCACTCGCTGAAGAAGCGGGACACTGCCGAGGCGGACCAGAAGGCTGATGACGCCACCCTGATCTCCACCTACGCTGCCCACCCCTTCGGCTACCGGTACGCCAACGCCGGCTACGCCACGCCATATGCTTTCCGCAGCGTGTACAATACCCCGGCCAGCACCCACCCCATCACCTACAACGCCTTCCCCTACGGCTACCGCTCGTATGTGTACTAGACGATGACGATGCCGAGGAGGTAATGCGACATGAGCTGTACTTTTGTTTGTCATTGCACTGAACTTGGACATTTGTGCCTGTCGTTGCAATGAAGTCGGCAACTTGTGCCCGCCTGTGCTCTTGGCAACTGCTTGTCTGTGGGCCTGTCTTCGTACAGGACGTGGAGACTTGTGCCTGCTCTTGCAATGCACGTGAAAACTTGTGTCTGTTTGTGCTCTGACAAACTGTGCTCAATGTCCACGACAAGCACACGCTTGAACTGGGACTCACTTTCATTGATTACATTGCAACTGGACGTAGCGGTGTGAACCTGCGCACAGCTGTG